TTATGAACTGTTTTTCTCTTTTAAATCTCTGGTTGGTTGGTTGGTTGGTTGTTTAGGTTGGTTGGTTGGTTGGTTGGTTGGTTTTGTTGCTGTTGTTTTGACAGGGACTCCCTAGTTCCAGCCTGCCTAGAAGTCACTGTGTGGACCAGGCTAGCCTTTATCTCACAGAGATCTGGCTGCCTTTGCCTCCTGAGGGCTGCGATTAAAGGCCATTGCCACCACACTACAGGTTCTTTTTCCCTTTTTTTAAAAAAAAGTTTTTTGATTTACTTACTTTTATTTTATGTGTATGAATGTTATGCCTGCATGTATGTAAGTGCACCCATGTCATGCAGTACCTGCAGAAGATAGAAGAGGGAGTTGGATCCCCTGGAACTGGAGTTACGGATGATTAACTGCCATGTGGGTGCAGTGATTCAAACCCGGGTCTTCTGCAAGAACAGCCAGTGCTCTTAACTGCTGAGCCATCTCTACAGCCCCATGTCCCTTTTGAAATTTATTTAAATTTATTTTTAAATTTTATTTATTTATTTATTTATTTAATTTTTGGTCTTTTTGAGACATGTTCTCCCTTGTAGCCCCAGTTGGCCTGGAACTCACTATGTAAACCAGGCTGGCCTTGAACTCAGAGATCCACCTGCCTCTGCCTCCCGAGTGCTGAGATTAAAGGCATGTGCCACCACGCCTGACTTTTTAAAAAATTTTTATTTATTATTTTTTATATGTATGAGTGTATTGCTTGTATGTAAGTGCATTCATGTCGTTGCAATGCTGCAGAGGTCAGAAGGTGTCAGATCCCCTGGACCTGGAGTTATGAATGGTTGTTAGCTGCCATGTAGGTAATTGGGAATTCAAACTTGGATCTTCTGCAAGAACAGCCAGTGCTCTGAACTGCTAAGCCATCTCTCCAGCCCTATTTTTTTCCCTTTTAATAAAAAGTACTTTGTTACAGAATTCTCAGGGAAGGTTAGTCTGGGTTTTAGCCACAGCCCTCAGTCATATCTAGGCTTAATCTTTAGATCAACTTAATCTTTCTCTGATCATTGCTTTTTGGTTTCTTTGTATGCTACATACAAACTGTTCTTTTAGACTGAATTCATTAAGGCTTAGTGTGATATAACTAAGGATATGTAATATAACTTAATTTTTGTGCCAACAGGTGAAGCAAAAAATTTATTGCCATATCTGGGACCCAACAAAATGAGAGATTGTTTCTGTACTATAAATTTGGACCAAGAAGAAGTTTATCGTACCCAAGTTGTTGAAAAATCTTTAAGGTTGGTAGAAATATTGGAAATTATCTTTCGTAAGATACATTTTCATAATTTTGTATATTTAAGAGTTCAAAGGAGACTTGAGGGTTAATTGAGGTGAACTGTTTCTTGGGCTTTTTAGCAGTAGCTTTGACAAGTGATCATGTGGCATTTGTTTGATAATGTTCCAGTGACCAAGGAGTTCACTGCTTCCTAAGCAGTCTGCTTGGTCTTTGAACTATTCTCACTCTTAGACAGTGCTTTAATGATTATTAAAATGACATCCTACTGTATGCCAAGTGTTTGCTGGGTTCTGTTTATGTCCACGAGAATGACATAGATGCAGAGCTTGCTTTTATGTGGCTTTGCATTGCCTCAGAATGTATTTTTTTTCTTAGCTCTTCCTAGCTCTATCCCTTGGGTTTCTGGGGAACAAGTTTAGTCTTTCACATGATACTCTTTCAAGTTCTTGAAAACAACTATCATAATACTTTAGTCTGTTCTCTAGGCTAAATTTTGCCTATTTGTTTGAACTTTTCTCAAAGCATATCATTATTTTATTTCTCCAAAAAATAAATTTGTTTTTAAAGATCTTAGAAGTTGGGCCTAGAGAGATTGCTCAGTTGGTAAAGAGCTTGTCACACAAGCATGAGGACTTGAGTTAGATCCCAGCACCCATATGAGAAAGCCAGGTGCAATGGCACCTGTCTGTAATCCCAGAGCTTGGTATGTCAAGACATGAGTTTGATGGGGGCTCAGTGACCAGCCAGTCTAGCCAAATTAACAAACTCCAGATTCAATGATAGACCCTGTCTCAAAATTAAGGTAGAAAGTGAGTAAAAAACCCAGCATTCACCTCTGGCCTAGACACACACACACACACACACACACACACACACACACTTGCATACTCACAAGACTGTATACACATACACACAAGTTTCTACAAGTTACATATTAGTATATTATCAGGAAGTGAACCCCTAGGTAGACTTTTCATCCTTTAAAGTGTAATTTCACTTGTAGAATAGCATAGTAAATTCTTGTTGCCTTCTCTGCCTTGCAGCAGTATTGGTGCTGATGTAAAGCTGTTCTGAAAGGATATAGTCTTCTTCAGAGACAAGCCAAAATAGGAGTTATGAGAGTTGTAGAAACAGACATGTGGTGAATGAAATATTGTGTGTCATGATTTGTATTTCAGACCAGTTGAATTTTTAGGATACATTTTAGTACCTTTTGTTTTCTTTATACTTTGTGTTTTAAATAACATACAAATCTAGTTTTGGCTCCTAACCAACCTTGTCTAGTTTTTTTTTTTTTTTTTTTTTTTTTTCCCAAATGTGTTGATAATTTATTAAATAAAGACTGGGCAATCAAATGTGAAGCTTAAATTGTTAAGATTGGGTACTATAGTGATACAAATAACTTAGTAATTCTCATGTTCTTATTTGGCTCTGTGTGTGCTTTAAAAATATTTAAATGTACACGTGTTTATTTATAAAGGAAATTCTCTTTAATAATTGTTCATAAAATAACACACAGGAAAGAAGTAATTATACATGTCATCTTTGCCTAGTAATTGTTTTTATATTAGTTTCGCTCTTGAGGCTTCTTAGAACACACTAGTTACTTTGACAGACCAGCTTTAAGAAGTTTGTTTTGGAGGCCAACAAGGTGGCTCAGCATGTAAAATTCTTGCCTTGCAAGCTTGATGACTTGAGTTCAGTCCTCACAATCCACAGAAATGGAAGGAGAAAACCAACTCCACAAAGTTATCCTTGGACCTCCACACACATGCTGTGTAGCATGAGTGCTCCCACATACACATCATGCACACACAATACTGATACAGTTTTTTTTAAAGTTTGAGTTTCATTTGAAGCGAAAAATATAGTATAAAGTTGAATAGATTTTATGACAACAGAACAGCTGAGTCACCCATGTTCTGGATAATGTCAGAAATTGCTTCTCTCAGAGTATTTTACTTTGCATTTCAACTTCTTGTTTAGTTATATGACATTGTAACAGTATTGCATTTCATGATCCTGTTTTTTTAAATCAGTCCTCCTAAGACTAGGATCTGCAAATAACAGAAAGCTCCCTTGTCCCCAGTATATATTCAGCACAGAGGCAAAGTCACTGCCATGTACAACCTGGGACCTCTGGGAAGTGGTTGTGGGGAATGCGACCACTCAGAGAAGGCTGAAACTGCTGCTCAGCATCATGATCATATTTTTAAAGATTTTTTTTTGTTGTTTTTTAAACATTCTCAAGAAAGAAGTACCCTTGACAAAATATATCCATTAGTATTTCATAGATTCATGTTTTCACAGCACTGAAATATAACACAATAGTGTTCATAAAATAAGCTTATAAAACAAGTTGTTTCATAGGAGAAAATCTTTGATATTTAGGGAAAACAAAGATTTTTTCCTTAAAGATGCAAAATCTATGAATTATATTTTGGGGGGGTCATAAAAAATAGGGACTCCCACAGGGCATGGTAGCACACCTGTAATCCTAGCACTCGGGGTAGGTAGAGGTAAGATTGCTGCAAGTCTAGGGCCGGCCTGGTCTATATATTGAGTTCCAGGCCAGTCTGGGCTATAGAGTGAGACCCTGTCTCAAAAAGAAAAGAAAAAGTTGAGGTTCCTGTTCTTCAAAAGTCACTATCACAGTTTAAAACTATTTTCTCTTACTGTGAACATAAACATAATCTGTAATGATAGAAATTCCACTAGTTGACTTATCAGTATGGTAGGGCGATTACAGAGGGAGACAAGGGAAATTTCTGGAAGATAAATTTTATTTTTATTTATTTTTAAATTTGTTCTTGACAATTCCATACATGCATATATATTTTTAAATTGTGTTTGCCCCATTACCCTCCCTTATCAACCCTTCCCACACCCACTGAACCCTTTTCCAACAAGATCTCTTCTCTGTGTGTGTGTGTGAAAACCACTGAGTTTAATTAGGGTTGCTCACATTAATATGGGTAGAAGGTTATTTACTGGAACATGGGCTAGAACACTGAAGAAAATCATTTCCCCTTCCCCAGCAGCCATTAACTGCCAGTGTACCCTCTGGAAGGGTTGGGGTCTTCCAACCCCTCCTCCTGCCCTCCAATCCCTGAACCTTGGTAGGGGTGATATAGGTGTCCCATATAGAGCTGAGCACTCAACAGTTACTTACTCTCAGTGCTTTGACCAGTTATGAGTCTCTGCATTAACCACTGCCCACTCCAAAAAGAAGGTTCTCTGACCAGAGCTGAGAGCAGCACTAATCAATCACAGGAGCAAATTGCAGTTCTGCACAGTATAAGGTAGGAGTCAGGGGGAAACTGGAGGCAGGTGCCATGAATGTTTTACATCACATTATAAATGTCACATTCACTAGAATAGGTAAATTAAAAGGGCTATCAGTCCTGAGATGTAGGATAACTGGAATACTCATTTATTTCTGGGACTTGTCAAATGTTAAAACCATTAGGAAAGTTCTTTATAACTTGAAATTTAACATATCTTTTCCTCTCCCTCCCTCCTTCCCTCCTTCCATCCTTCCCTCCCTCCCTCCCTCAGCAGTTTACCCCTATGCCAGGCCCTCTGTGCTTTTGATGAGGGGCTTTGGCTATTCATCTCTGTTCCAGTTGAAATGTCCTTTTTCTGGTGCTATCTCTTATGCATGAGGCAAGGGAGGCAGCTGATCTCAAAGACCCCTGGCCCATGAGACATCCCTCCCTCCTTCCCTCCTTCCATCCTTCCCTCCCTCCCTCCCTCAGCAGTTTACCCCTATGCCAGGCCCTCTGTGCTTTTGATGAGGGGCTTTGGCTATTCATCTCTGTTCCAGTTGAAATGTCCTTTTTCTGGTGCTATCTCTTATGCATGAGGCAAGGGAGGCAGCTGATCTCAAAGACCCCTGGCCCATGAGACAGGGTATCCCTGGCCACAGCTGTCCTGGATTCACTATGGCGACCAGGCTGGCTTTGAACTCACAGAGATCCTCCTGCCTCTGCCTCCTGAGTGCTGGGATTAAAGGTGTGTGCTGCCATTCCTGGCTAATTTTATTAATTTTTATCGAAAGTGATATTATTTGAGTGTTAATGGTTTTATTTTAGTAGTGATAATGAATTGTTTAATAGTAATAATAAATTATGTAATATTTGACATAATGAGCTTTCTCTTTTCTCTCTAGCCCATTTTTCAGTGAAGAATTTTACTTTGAAATTCCAAGAACTTTCCAATATTTGTCTTTTTATATTTATGATAAGAATGTTTTACAAAGAGATCTTCGTATAGGTGGGTACTATTCATAATTATTTTTAATTACGACATTGGTATTAAATTCATTCTTAAAGTAGGAGGTGTTGTTTTAAACTGTAGAATAATATAGCTCAACATTTCTAATCCTTTTCTCTAGACTTCATGTTCATTTGATTTTTAATTTGCGTGTTCAGCTGTGGACAGGCTTTTGCTGTTCCCCTGGTCAAGTCTAATGTTTCCATCCTACCCATGATCCCCTTTCCATGATACTCATTAAGCTTGTTCCTTAATCTGTCATTTAATATCTAGATTTTCTAGATCAGTGTGGTATTTAAGAAGGTAGAGGTGGGGCTAAAGTGATTACTCAGCAGTTAAGAGCACTGGCTGGTCTTGCAGAGGACCCAGGTTCAGTTCCCAGAACCCACATGGCAGCTAACAACTGTTTGTAACTCCAGGTCCTGGGGATCTAATGCCCTTTTCTGGCTTCCTCAGGCACTGCACAACAGGGGTGCACTAACATTCAGGCATAACACTCACACACATAAAAAATAATTTTTTTAAAGTCCCAAATCTGAAATACTCCAAAACTTTTTAAATGTTGTGTGGATACTCAGAATATCTCATACTTCAGAGCCTTTTGGATTCCATCTCTTCTGAATTAGGGATGTTCAACCTGTATTTTAATAGAGTATGTTCTGGAGGTGTGACCATTATGTCTAGGGATCATAGAAGCAAGAACAGTGCATTCTGTTTAATGAGCGATTAACATGCCACCTATGTAGGAAAAGGAAGAACAGTAGCAGGATACTAGGAATGAACAGACCCAGGAGGAAAAGTGAATGCTGTTTGGGGTGCATCTAATGGAATATTACTTAAGAGAACAGTGATAAAGTGTGGCTGGGAATATAAATTGGAGTCAAGCTTTAGTAGACCTTTACAAACATTGTAAATTTCAACAACTATGAAGTTTGAACCATTAAGAATATAGCCAGGCGTGGTGGTGCACGCCTTTAATCCTAGCATTCGGGAGGCAGAGGCAGGTGGATCTCTGTGAGTTCAAGGCCAACCTGGTCTACATAGTGAGTTCCAGGACAGCTGGGACTACAGAGAGACCTGTCTTAAAAATAACCCGCCCCCCAAAAAGAAAGAATATAGTGCCTGTATATATAGTTCTGTGGTTGTATATCCATATACTTTATATGATCTTTATTTGTTGAGTTTATAGTTTAGAAATTGTCAGTAGGAAGCTGTGGTTTAGAATAGGGTGATTGGGGACTGGAGAGGTGGCTCAGTGGTTAAGAGCACTGACTGCTCTTGCAGAGGACCCAGGTTCGATTCCCAGCACCCACATGGCAGCTGCGAACCATCCTTAACTCCAGTTCCAGGGGAATCCGAAGCCCTCTTCTGACCTCTGAGGTATTGCACGACATGGGTGTACTCACATACATACAGGCAATACACTCATATACATAAAATGAACATAATAATAATAAAAAAAAGAATAGGGTGATTGGTGATTGGGGCATTGGAAGCAAGGCTAGTACTTCCTGCAAGATGAATAGGGCAGTGGAAGTGCCAATGAAAAGAATGTGCTTCAGAGGCTTCAAGTAGGACTTAGCAGTCAAGGGGATAGAAGAGATGTGAGAAGAGGCATTATTTCTGTGGCTGTTAGTAACTCAGGTAGGAAACACTGGAAGAACATTCAATTAAAACATAGTAAATAAAAATTTATTTTTAATGTATTTTTTATTGAATTTTTGTGGATTTCATACAATACATTTTGGTCATATTTAGACCTTCCCTATCTGCACCCCCCCCCATAACCTGCCCACAGGATTTCATACATTCTGTCATATATGCTAAGGCCTATCAAGTCAAGTTTGTGTACTCAGCTGTTTCTTGGTGTGAGTTCATCCATTGGGGCCTGCTCAGCCTATCTAGCATCATTCCCTTAAAGAAGATCAATTGTTCTTACCCAGCAGTTATCAGGTGCCAATAGCAGCTCAGTTTGGGGCCTCCTCTCCATTACCTTAGTTTTCTGCTGGTTTTTATGTGATTGAGTTTGCATGGGTCTTGCACATGCTGCCACCATTACTGTAAGTTCATATGAGCAAGTTCCCAGGAGCCTGTAAGACTCTGTTTTCTTATGGTCATGCACCACCCCTTGGCTCTTAAAATTTTTCTGCCCACTCTCCTGCAGTGGTCCCTGAACCTGGGTGGGTGAGGTTTAATACAGGAGTCCTATCTAGGGATACACTCTCTGCAGTCACTTATTCTCTGCGCTTTGGCCAGTTGTGGCTATCTGAATTCATCACCCTCTGTTGCATGAGGAGGCTTCACTGATGAGAGTTGAGAGATGCATTAGTATTCTCTCTACCACTTGTTCCACTATGTTCCCTTAGCCTTAGGTGTAGAGGCTCCATTGTTGATGTGTCACTTAGGGTTAGGCATCTCACAAACACTTATTCTTTGTGTGTGACCAGTTTGTGGAACTCTTTACTAGACTTCATCTATTGCAAAAGAAGCTTCTTTGATCATTCAATTTTGAGGGACATGCTAAAAGGGGAAAAGAGACTTTGGTTTCCAACAAATTAAATTTGTGTTACCTGAAAACTTGCAAACTGTTCTGGAATGAACAGAATTAACTGGGAGCCAATAAGGAGGGTTTTAGGTATAGTGACCTCAGTGAACATGAGGAAGTGAGAAAAGGAATAGGAGAGATTAATATCTATCACAGAAGATATTGATCTTTTAATGTTAGAGAGGTAGATGAATTGGATGGGGGTGCTGGTTAGCAGCAGCAGTACTTGAGAACATAACTTTGATTATTAATCTTGTTAAGATGCTCAATGTTTTTTATTACACATAGTATAGCCTTCATATAGTATTTTTTTCTTTAGATTTATTTATTTTTGTTTTATGGGTATGAATATTTGTTTGCATGTATGGATGTGCACCGTGTGTGTACCTGGTGCCTTTGAAAGCCAGAAGAAGGGCCATTAGATGTCATGAAGGCCAGAAGAGGGTATTTAATCCCTTGAAACTGGAGTTACAGACATAGTTATGTGTTGCCATGTGGGTACTGGGAACTGAACTGGGGTCCTCTATAAGAGTAGCAAAGAACTCTTAACCATTGAACCATCTCTCTAGCCCCCCCATACAGTATCTTTTGAAAAGGCCTTTCATAGTTACTTGAGATAATTTCCCAAAAGTTGTCTTTGATCTTTGCTTATTTTTAAGGTAAAAATAAGCAAGCATGGAGGCTCACACCTATAATCTGAATTCTTGGGAGGCTAAGGCATGAAGATTACTATGACTTGAGGCTAGCTTGGGTTATAGAG